TTAGTGTACTCTCTGAAAAACTGCACAAAAAGTAAAAAGATAGGAGAAAACCTTTTTTTAAAAACTTGATGGTGGTATGTACAAGCTGCTTGGAGTTACTAAAAATACCTCATGGTAGTTCTTTCTGTAAGACCACTCATCACAGCAACTTTATCTGAACTTATCTGCAGCAGTTACCTGCTTCATCATCCACAAATATTTCATATGTGTGAAGTTTGTGTGTTCTCCTCATGTTTGTTTTGTCCTGGGCTTTCCCAGAACAAAAATATTTTTCTCCCAGACTCCAAAATCGTACATATTTAGGCTCCCTTCAGGGCCTGGCCTCCCTAAAACAAGACATCTGTGGGATCTGCCTGATTAAATAAAGGGCAACAAATAATTGCAGTTCCTGAACTCCATTGAGTCTCTACCTCACCTATCAGGAAACTCAAGTTGTAGAAAAGCAGTAATAACCAACAGTGACATTATCTGACTGTGACACTGTGTGGTTGTGTATGTGTGCACAGAGAATTTACTACCTTCTCCAGGATCATGTAACAAGCGCTCAGATTAAAATATTTGCTAGTGAGAGTCCACACACAACATACTGTCATTGCCTGGCTGAGAATAGTTTATGGCAAAATAGCACAACAAAACACAAACACCGAACAAACTTGATGTCAGAGCTGCACAGATACGTCCATAAACGCCTTTTTCCCCCAAGTAGCTTGTTGTGATTTGAATGAAAATCAGTTCATGCATTGAAACAGAACGAACAGGTCTGAACTTGTTGTTTAAAGATGAAATTGTGTGGAAAACATCTGTATAGCTCTGCTGCTCTGTGCTGTAAGATGTTTGACAGCCACACCTTGTTGTACAGGGAAGTTCAGGGTTATAAAAAAATGAAACGAAAAAGCTGGAAAACAAATCCTAGACTGTTTATTGATGTTCAGCTACATTTCAGTGGCTTCAGTGGGAGGAGTTTGACAGCACACTGGTTTGCTCAGTGAACAGCAACTACCTTATGTCACCATGATTCATCAACCTTACTACTCTACCCATGTGACTGACTTTTATTCTTCTGTACTTCCGTTTTGAAGTGCTTTTAGTTTCATGGCAACTGCCATTTGACTGTTATATGACTTTGTGGGCCTCATTACTCGTTTAATGTAAAAGGTCTAGCACAGTTAGCATCAGTCTCAAGCGTACAGTGTCTGTGGCATTAAATGTTTGTAATAATTAAAAAGAATGAAACATGTTGCAAAATAATCATTTCTGCTGAGATGAAGAATTGCTGAGCTATAAGTTCACAAAAGTCACTGAAAAGGATCACTCAGACCAGAGATGGTAAATCCAGTTCTCTTATATATATA